AAGATGAGGGAGGACCACTTAGGGAGTTTTTTCGTCTGGTACTTAAGGCTATTGTGGATCATTCAGGTATTCTGGAGGGAGCAGATGACAGGAAGGTTTTCACAAGCAATCCCCTTTTGATTCAACAGAGAGCTTATTATTGTGCTGGAGTGATTTTGTCAACTTCCCTTCAACAAGGGGGGCCACCAATGTGCTGTCTTTCTGGCTCCGTGTATGATTACTTCCATGGTGGGACTAGTGGTTGCATCCCAACAATATTGGACGTCACTGATGTTGATGCCAGATCAAAGATAGGAAAGGTAACATATATAGTCAACCAAATTAAGGCTGAAGACTGAAAGATGAATTGTGGATAATTCAGGTTAAAACCCATACTTTATTTTAAAATCCCTTTATTTTATTTCTTAATTCATAATACAGTTGTATACATAATTGATTAATAACTGAAAACATTTGTAGTCAATCAATGATAAATAGAACTTCATAATAAATGCATACACAGAAACCAAAAAAAACTGTTGGGTCAGATAATAATGTAAGATGGAAATGTAATGAACATGTATTTTATATCAATTTTGTTAATATTAATGGAATAAAAAGGCCAGCTCATGAAGGCTGCAGTATAGTAGTCGCTTGAATCTGATAACTGCTGCAAAGCACTATTTGTCATAAGACAAGTTCAAAGCATGTTTTTCCCTCTTTTCCAAAATAGACTTATGGGTTTTAACAATTACTATACTTTTTACATTTTTTTAAAGATAATTTATGCAGGAGATGAGGAATCATTTCAAAAATCATTGAATGAAGAAGCAGACTTTATTCTTGAGGCWGGGATCACAAAAGTAAACTGGAAGTTAGAAGACAAGGATCAACTAGCAACTCTCTTGTGTAAAAGTCATGTCATATACAAAGCTAAGGCTGCAATTGATCAGTTTTTGGAAGGTCTTGCATCAACAGGTTTTCTAAAATACATCAAAGAAAATCCATATTCCCTTAAGRAAATTTTCTGTGTGTCAAATTCTGATGTTTTAAAGGTTTYTGCTTTTAGGACATTGCTTCATGCTCATTTGACCAATCCAGGGTCAAATGATGATAATAAAGCAAGAGAAGAAGAAGAAGCTACTATGTTGTGGTGGGAGGAGTTTTTAGACAATATTGAAAATTCTGATCCCGAGGGTCTCTTGATTCAGCTCTTAATCTTTATCACTGGAGCTGATAAAATCCCAATATTGGGTTTTCACAAGGCTATTGATATTTACTTTTACCAGTATGAATCAGGTGTAAAGCGATTCCCAACAGCATCTAC